CTTTCCCTTTACTGGGACTGGGATTTCAGCTCTGAACTTCAGTGTCCCACCTACTTCTAAGATGTGTTTTCTTTATTTAAAACTCGCATAGCAACCACAGAAAATTCAGTTTGAACCATGGTCTTATGCCATGGCCCTATTTTTCCTGATGAATGAAATTCATTAAAAGCATGTGTAAATGGTCTATACTGTTACAGGTGACATCATCAATGAAACACGTAGAGAGAGTACTTGAACTGACACACATGTTGGAAGTGCTGCTTAGTTCCTTTCGCATCCTGTTGTTAGAGTAGTTTCCCCTGAAAGCTTATGGTAGGAACTACCACAGTCATCTCAATTTCAATCTCCCAGAACAACTTATTGAATGAAGCATAGGTATGTCACAAGAAAAGCTTAAAACACAACAGCAGACTCGGTCTACATTGCAACATGGCACTGAGTTGCACTACAGATGAGCAGAGAAAAGCTGTAGGGAGGCAGGACGGAGAGCAGCTTGGGAGACACAAGAGGCTCAGTGCCACAGGGGAGTAGCGTGCTGGTACTGTCTCTCCAAGCAGTGACCTGCAGAGCTAATTAAACAGTCCTGTTAATCAAAACTTCATAACTGTTCTCAAGAGTAAGGCAATTATAAGAGAAAACTAGTAATAAGGCATAATAAAAGTTCCACCCGTAATAAAAAATATAACTAGAACAAAAACATCAAGAGGATGCAAGAATGCAGTAATGGAAGTGAGAGAGGGGAAGAGGCAGGTACCCACTTTCTTGGATCTGCTGGTTGATTAGTGCTTGGTCATTTTCTAGTTCCTGCTCTGCTTTGCTCTGTCCTCTCACGATCTGCTGCTTTAAATTCTCAACATAGAGCTGCTGCCATTTAATTTGTTTTCTGTGGAAAGCTTCCTGGTCTCTCAGTTTCTGCTTGTACTCTTCATGCACAGCATCTATTTCTCTGCTGTTAGAAATGTTGACAGTGAGTTTAAACCAGAAATGAATACCAAACATTTGTAATAAAACAAGTCATCTTACTAAAGAAAGAGACAACATTCAAGATACTGTTTTTTTCAATAAGGGCGCCTTATGTCAAAAACTTGTGATGGTAAAGTAGCTGTGTATATGCATGTCACAGCAAGCTACAGTCCTGTAAGTATCATAAATGCCAGCAAACATGAAAGCTCTCGTGGTGAAGCAGAAAACTCCATCATCAGAAAGACAATAGCAAAAATAATTTAAAAAATATTTTCACTTTTGATTTTTGCCGTAGATCTTCCAAAAATTAAATTGGGGAGGGGTGTTGTCAATATGTTACAAAATTTTATAACCGCTATATAGGATATTTGTCATCTAAGTACTTCAAAGTGCTTTACAGAAATGACAAACATTTTTCTCTGTTTTCAGATCAAAAAGTCTCCAACCTAGCAAGAGTTACAGGCATTGTTGAGATTACACTGACAGTCTCTGGCAGTACCAAGGAAAGAACTTGACCACCCCATTCTCTGTTGGACGTAAAAACTATATTAGGTTACTGCTTCTATATTTGGAGCAGAATCGTGATCAGAAAAGTGACTAACCTGTGAAACACTGCCTTACAGTCCCCTCCAAGATATTTGATTCCTGTCCGTGTGCCAAAATTTTACACGCACACACACAGAGTAACAATCAAAATAGTATCTATTCTTAGCATGATCCATGATAATATTTAAAATACATTAACCCTCTGAAAGGAATATATATTCCACCTGTCCAAACATTATAACCAGAAATTCTTAATGTTAAACTTATGTATAAAGGTGATATAAGATCTTTGCCTGTCTTGTTTCTAAACACCACATTATTGTATGTAACCTCAGCAAATTAGATCTTTAAGTCTTGAAAAAAATTTAAAAATATATTTTACTAATGCAGTAAATTATATATATATTATAATGATGCATTTATTATACTTTTAAAGACAGCAAAGATATCAAAACTCTAAAGAGTCCCTAAGGGTCAAAAGAAATCGAAAATATAGTTTCAAAGGGAATGCTTTGGAAACATCATGTTGTTTATAAAATCATTACCAATACAAGGTCACCTGTATGAAAAGAGCATTTGACCTTTGCTACATAGGAAATAATTTGACATGTCTATTTCGAACTGTAAGCATGTGTTCAAAGCAACTATTTCTACAGCAACAACTTTGATTCTGTGTGCTAGACTAGCAGACAAAACAGATGAAACAATTAAGCAGCCAAAGTCTGCAAATCTTCTGGAGTACCTTTACATGGAACATACATTTCACGTTCTTAAGAAGCAGTGGGAAAGCCCCACTACATAAAAGCCTTAAGATTCTCAATAATTTACAAGATTACTGTGACTCTCTTTCAGTCACCTAAGAAAAACAAGATTTCAGTTTGTTTTTAATGTTTATGTAAATGTAATGCTGGAGAGAATAACTCAAAAAAGAACATCTGTTCAATTGCCTGGCATGGTGCAAACAGTGAGAGTACAAACTTTGCTACTGCCATCTGTGAAATGGTTTGTGTCTGTTTGGGACCCACAGGAACAAATTAAAAGAACGGGCAGCTCCAAGATCCATTTGTCCTTGGCTTGACTACAAAGATGCCAACAATCTGCGATTTGTAATTTTTTTCCTCTCAGATAAACTTTAATTGATCCCCAGGAAATAGGAGTGGGATGCCTCATTTCTCATTCAACTGACGTAGGTTTGAACTGACACCTCACTGCAGCACTGAAACGCTCGTATAGCCATTACAAATCTCCAGCTGTCCAGGTATTAGTAATGCTACCAACTACTCAGGGGGACAAACTCAGAGGTTAAAGCTAGATTGGTTACCTAAAGAAGAATCACTTTTTGAACAGAGCATTAAATCTGAAGGATCTCATTTAGGAAAAGCTCCCATGGCTTTAATGAAAAATCTGAGGGAGGATTTCCCTGAATGAGGCTTCCAGGTTATCTTTCATATTTTCTAAGGGAAATGTAATGGAGCAGCCACACAATCTGGAGGTTAAAGTACAGATCTGAAACAAAAGCTTTCTGGTTTTGGAGCAGTTATATGACCCCTGTGCTTTCACGTACTTAGGCTGCAAGGTCTTCAGGGTGAGGACTGCCTCTGGATGCCTATGCACTAAACCTAACCGCCCTGACATCAGCTGAAGCCTCTTCTTGCTGATACATTGAAACTAATAAACCTTAATAGCAATTGTAAATGTTCAGTCTCTGCGTGTAGTCTGATGATGAGGCAGTCTTTAACCTGTTTTGCTACAGACATATAAAAGCTCTGATTCCTACAGTGATATGAAAGTTGAGAAATGTGAGTCTAAATTTGTTACCGGACAATTGCATGACCTTGGGCAAGTCACTTAGTCTGAGACATGTGTGAAAGAAGCAAAGTATGTTCATCCAAGAGGAGTGATGAGGATCCATTAACATTATCAAAGATCAGAAAGTCAAGTATCAGAAGAGCTGATTTCTATTCATTTCTTATTATTAGCACCATTCTGTACAAGATTGAGGAAACTAAGTCATTGCCAATAAGGCTGAAAAGTGGAGCATGATAATAAAACAAAGAATTGTTCTGCAACTGTTTACTAAAACTAGATAAAATGAAATTCCTCTTACAAAATGAATTATATTCTTCCTAACTACGACTTCTAGCTCTCAGCCATCCTTTCCAGAAAATTAACCTATCATAGTACACATTGTTTACAAATTGAAACCCAGAACATTTAAGTATATGAAACAACTGTGTTGCATTTCAATTCAAAGACCTCACAATGCTCGCAGAGGTGGTTAGGTAACATCTGTTTACAGCTGGGAGAGGGTTATAAGCTTTTCCGTATTTTCCAACAATGCTGACACCCCACTCCCCTCCCAGTATTATAACATATCAGGGAATAAGCAATGCAAAAAATGCACATGGAAGTGTGTCAATGTATTCCCTCATGTGTGTGGTAATGGCTTTTTCCTGAACTAACATGAAACTGTAAGATCCTTTCCAACAGGCATGTGTGCTTGCACACAGAGCAGAACATGATGTAGGCCAAAGTGATGTTATTAATCACAGCTCCATACTATGACTACACCCCAAAAAGGCACAGTACAGAGGCAGACCCATACTTCACTTTAAACCTTGGAAGAACAAACACAGCACAGCAACCATTACAGTATTATTACTTGTTTTGTTCTGCTGATGTAGCTAGTTGTTACAATTCTCTCTCTCTAAGGTTAAAGTTTCTGTTACAAAATAGTGTTGCTGAAGGTATATACACAAATTGCAGTTCTGCTGCTATTTCAGTGCCTCTTTGCTTCATCTCCTAATTTTTAATAGTACAAAACAAAAAACAGGTATTGCAGTAAAGATAGGTCTGAATACAGAGACCGAACATTAAACACCTTTTTATGAAGTTGCTTCTTAAAGATGGTTTTCTCAAGCGGAACAAAAAGATAATGAAAATTCATGCAGAGCCACTTACATAATACAGGTATGCCAGAAGATGGAGTGTTTTTCCTCTGGCAGTGAGACTACTGATTGTGAGAGCAAAATGACTGGCTGGTTTGGGATACAGATCTGCCTATCATAGAAACGCTGAAACCAAGAACATGAAGTAAGAATACTCCTTTTCTACCTTCGAACATGCTATGTCACGTCAACACACTCTTGCTGGCTTGTGGAAATAGCACGACAAACTAAACTGAAAAATGAGGTGACAATAGCTCAGAAAGAAAAGAACAGATTCACACACACTTCGTAGCTAAATCACCTAACAGACAATTAAAAGAACAATCAGTCTGTGTAATACATGTTTGAATGATTAAACTAAAACCAAATATCAATCCAGTTAACATAAGAATTTAGCCATATTCCACATTCTGTAATAGGTAGATGAGGTCACTCATTTCTTTCACCTAAAACATCTTAAAACAGATCTATTGTTAAATTTAGACTTGAAATACTGGAATACTGTGAGATACAGGAGTCAAGCACACACCAGTTTCTGCTATTGCTTGTATTCCTGCCTTCCCACATAAGCAGTCTACACTAGTATAGTTCTGGCAGGAAATAATATAACCTCAGGACAAACATAAGACAAACAGCTTCATTTCTGTAAGTATCAAGACATAGATAAAATCTCAGTTTCACGGGACCAGCACACTCTGGCATATAGCACACTAAAAAAAGCAACCCTGCAGAGAATTTAATAAAAGCCTGCAGATTTCTAGATGTACCAAATGCAGCAAGAAGTGTCAACAGTTACCCCTCCTCCAAGTAAATCTTTAAAAACAGCAAGTAAAATTACAACAACAAAAAGACACCAACCTTAAACTAATCACAAATTACTGAGAAAATTTTCGTATTATACCAATACTGCCGGATTGTTGTTCCATCTCATTTTTCTCTCCACAAAGTTTGCATGACGCATGCTAAATGAACCATCTGTAAATCCACATTTTTTCCAGCCTGTTTTGTTGTCAGCTCTCAGGGATCCTATTGTGCAATTCTCCTCCCCTCTTCCCCAAACACTTCTGCTGCTGATGCAGAGGCTGGCGGCTGCTACAGCATAATGCAGTTTTCAGTAACTATGGCAGCAATAGCTCTGGGGTGAGGCTAAATGCCTTCTGCAACAAAATCTTAAGGCTCAAATAGAGAAACTCAAGTGAAAATAACCACTGCTGCCAAAAGCTGAAATTTACCAATTTTCCCAACATCAATCAAGTTAGCAAGAAAACATCAATCAAGTTAGCACCCTCAGCCTTCTGTTTGCCTAGTGTTCAGGTCCCATTTTTCTTTTACAAATGATTTTTTCCAGGGGAAGTAGAGTTAATGATAAAGCAGAAAAAAAGATGTTGGCAAGGCACTTTGCAACCTTGCAAATCCCAGCACTGAGAGCAATCACAAGTCAGGGTTTTAAGCCTATCCACTGATATGTATTCACCCCAGCTCCATCCTCCCCCTCTACCCGTGCGCAACCCAGGGCCCTTCCTGCAGGGGCTCCAAGCATCACGCAGCTGCACGGGATCGTACATCTGCTTCTGCCTAGCACAGAGGTTCAAGCCTCTGCCTTCTCCTCCCTATAGCTAAGGGAAGAGCGATGAAGGAGATGTGAAGAGCTTGTGTTATCACCTCCCTCAGCCTCCTGAAGTAATGCCACTCACACAATCCAAAGCAAGAGTGGGAGGGGAGGCGGCAGGAACCAGAAATCAGGCCAGTCAAAACGGCTAGCAGAGCCAGAAACCTTTAGAAATAAGGAACTTTCAGAAACGTGCACACAGAGGAATCCCCCTCAGTGAAGTCACCATCAGGTGAAATATCATTTGGATTTTTGATTAGCTAGTTTGCTTATAGAAAAAGCATACCTATGCATTTTTTGTTGTTTGGCTTGTTGGGGATTTCTTAGCTTTTTTGTGCAAAATCTCATTTCTTCCATTTGCCTAAACCCCCTAAACAACAGTAAGGCAGTGACTTATTTAAGGCAACTCTTTAAATACCCTCCTTTGGCAAGGAGTCACAGACACAAGACACAGACAGGCACTCCAGTAAAGGTCACTGCTGCCTTGCTAAATTCCAGTTCAGCTGGAATTTCAGTTTATCACAGGTTTTCCCCTTATGACTTCAGTTACATACAGAATCAGTCAGTTCCCCTGCTAACTCACGACACATAATTCTGCTGTAAGTTGTAGAGTTGCTGTAATTAAACATGGTGTATTTCTCTATGAAATGAAATATTTGAGGGATCTTTTAAGAGATGCAAAAGATTTCTTTAACTTGTGTTGTAGAGCACTTAAAAATTCTCAGATGAAAGCTGTTAGCAAGAACTCAGAGTATTATTTTTACAAACATTAGTTGGACATGTTAACTATACCACATTAGAATAGTAATTGTGTTGTGTTCTCCACAATCAGATGCCATAACTAGGTGCACTGTTTCCTTTCCAGTTCAGTAGCATTTCACACATCCTTATAAGATGATTTTCTTTTCTTCTGGTTTAACAATGTTGGTATTTTTAAGGAAAGAGAGCTCAAACATGTTCCAAGCAGCTAAAATTAATTCAGTGTACTGCTATACCTCTGGACTCTAATGGAACAACTCCTGTTTTTTTTTTTCAAATCAGCAAGAGAACAAAATCAGGGTTTATATTTATATGCAGTATGGTATTAAGACAATGACAGGAGCAAGAACTTCATTATCGACTTAATTGTGGTGATGTTGTCACATGATGACTGATGCCAGTCACAAGCCTTCCGTATGTTTACTGGCATACAACAAACATCAGAAGTTTGAAGTGCTGGGGCTCTTCTGAATAGGGTGTATGAGCAAACAGCCAAGTAAAAGTACAATGAATGACACCCCCTTCTCAAGGAAAGTTTCATGCCTAAAGTTTTAATATTTGGGGGCAATGGTATAAATTTGTTTTCTTTCCGATTTCTCAAAATATTTTAACATATGATTTAAGGTTTAACTGCTAACTCAACCCATGAAAAGTAGATGAGAAAGATGTCATCATATTGTCAGCATGGGCAATAAGATTGTACGTAATCATTACCATGATATACATGTTCATATGTTCTGAAATACAAAATCCAGAAGAAAGCAAAGTACCATCAGTTCCTGACTAAAGAGTACTTTAACCCACAGAAGCCCGACAATTTCTGAATGATTTTTGTGTGCAGCTGCTGTGTTTCTTTGCATGAATGAACCATGTTCTATGCCAGGACTTCCTTTTTGGACTCTTCCATAAAGCCATTCTCTTCTCACCAGAAAAGAACCCAACTTGTCCAAGAAATTTCAATACACTAATCACAGAATCACAGAATGGTAGGGGTTGGAAGGGACCTCTGGGGATCATCTAGTCCAACCCCCCTGCCGAAGCAGGGTCGCCTGCAGCAGGCTGCATAGGACCTTGTCCAGGCGGGGTCCGCATATCACCCTCATGTTCAGAAATAACGTCTTAGGCTTCAGTTTGTGCCCATCGCCCCTTGTCCTGTCGCTGGGCACTACTGAAAAGAGTCTGGCCCCATCCTCCTGACAACCACCCTTAAGACATTTATAAGCATTTATAAGGTCCCTTCTCAGCCTTCTTCAGGCTAAACAAGCCCAGGTCCCTCAGCCTTTCCTCGCAGGAGAGATGCACCAGTCCCCTCATCATCCTCGTAGCCCTCCGCTGGACTCTCTCCAGTGGTTCCTCATCTTTCTTGAAGTGGGGAGCCCAGAACTGAACGCAGTACTCCAGATGGGGCCTCACTAGGGCAGAGCAGAAGGGGAGGAGAACCTCCCATGACCTGCTGGATCCCACTGGCCTTCTTGGCAACCAAGGGCACACTGCTGGCTCAGGGTTAATCTGCCATCCACCAGGACACCCAGGTCCCTCTCCACAGAGCTGCTCTCCAGCAGGTCCACCCTAAGCCTGTACTGGTGCATGGGGTTGTTCCTCCCCAGGTGCAATATACTAATAAGTATTCACAGTACCTACTACTGACATAAAATTTTCTATGTTTTAGGGTTCTTATATATTGTAAATTGGTGGCAGCTTCTGTGTAAACCCCGTTGTAGTCATGGCTTTAAAATACAGGTTACACATGCAACAAAGGTGCAAACTATTTGTACAAGATCAAGTATGAATAAAGAACATAGTTTCACAGACTTGCCTATACCTCAGCTGCATGTACAGATTCTTGTTTCAATACGATAAAATCAAATTAAAGCTTGAAGCTTAGTTTGCATCTCTTCTGGAAAAAATCAGTGTAACACAGGAGAAAGACAAAGCTAAAGGGGCCAAAAAAATCAGCATGATTTAGATACATTAATATTCTTACCTTAGATCAGGAGAACATTTGTTTTCTTTGCAGTTTCTACATTTTTGACTGTAAAAATAAAAACAGGAAATCATAAAGACGTTCAAAAAGAAGGCAAGAAAACTTCACTGAAGCCTCTTTGTAATTTTCAGTAGAGGAAGACTAAGATGCAGATTGCTACCAGCTGGGAGAGCATCAAGCACTGTCAAGCAAGAGGGGGGAGACAGAGGGAGAAACACACACATAGTTTGCCCTATTTGTATATTTCCATCTAAGCATCTCTTTTGGACAGAGACAAGACCATGCACTAGGTGGACTTTTTACTGATGAGCAAATAAGCACTCCTTGTAGTCCACTCACTCCTGTATTACTGTTCACAAAGTACCTCAGACACACCTTTCAGTACTTGACACTGAATTTTCTTTCCACAAAAGCTGGACATGAGAGACTACATATGTTTAATTTTATTCTCATATTATAGATCTTAGGCTAGATGTCTCAGTCATCCTACATGAGCAAAACTACTTGTCTGTACTGAAATACAGGGTTACTGGATACTGTAAAGGAAGGCTGAGTGGATCAATTCAGTTTACCTTTGCTAAAAAACAGTTCAAGAGGAAAAAGAGACCACTGGCTTATGTAAAGTTAAAGACAACTAATATTAGACATGGTTTATAGCTTATTCCTTTAAGAGATGGACATTCATAAAAATCAAGCGAATGCAATACCATAACGCTTTTCATTTTCACTGAAGTAACCATCTGAAACACTCTAGTGAAGTACGAGAGTAATGTTACGCAATGTAATATGCATAGCAATGTCCAAGAGATTAAAAAATTGATCAGCACAAACAAAACTGCTATCTGACCATGGTCTGGAAAAAATAAATCAGAAATGTTCTTCAGTTTTGTACAGGTTAAAATGGTGAAGACCAAGTGCAATTCTGTGCTAAATTGCTCACAATGGTTCAGGATTTCTGCAGGTTTTTCTAGGACCATCAACAAATTTCTGTGACAAAAACTCCACCTCTGATGTCTGTACTCATGTAAAGAGCAACTTGTATCTACTTTTGAAGGTCATTAGACAAACACTTATTTTTTAAATTCTTTGTAATTTTTATAAAGAAAATAACAGCAGTGATGTATAAAATGTACCTCAGTAAAGAAACAAAATGAAATACCATTTTGTATAGAAAGGTATCACTGCAGCAAATGAAAAGCAAATGCAGAGATTAGACACATTCAAAGGAACATACAGAAACACACTATCCAAGGTGGAAAGTAAGCCACTTGACTAGAAGTATTAAGAGCTGTTCAAAACAGAGAAAACATTTTATGCTTATAAAAACAAGATGAGATGCTTCCTCTAGAAAGAGATAAAAGTTTCTCAGTATGTCACCACACCAAAAACACTCTATCAAGAAGCAGAACTATCAACAGACATGAATGAGAAGATAGCTATTTCTTGCCTTTAACAGGTCAATTGAATGCGCCAGGCTGAGAGGAATTGAAAAAGAGAAAGAACCCAATTACATTTAATTCCGTGAAATTCTGTTTTCCATGTTATGACCCGAAACACAAGAGATATCTTCATTCATTTTCCTGATACACATTAGTCACTGCCTTCATCACCCCAATCCTTTCCCTTTCAGAAAGGCTCTGCCATGAAAAGCATACTCTAGACACTGTGAGTATGAGCAGTTCAACATTTTGGAAGCAGTCTATGACTTATTTACTGTTCAGTTTAAAAAAAGAGAGAATCACAATGGCTCAATGAGGACTTGAACTAAAGGGAATTTACGAACAAACAAACCTTCTGATTTCCACAACAAATTAGCAGGGAAACTGAACTGGTAATAATTAGCTTGGCTAAATCATGATTCATATCTAGAAAAGTCCATTCTGTGCACTGAAGTAAAAATATTGTAAAAATCATAATTAGCTCATAAATCAAAACAGCTATAATGCAGATGTGCAAGTGAATTGAGTTAAAGCTGTCTGACAGTCTTACGCAAGGCATTTTCTTAATTGTGCATCAATATTCATTGTGCATCAATAAATAACTTTTCAGGTTTGTTGCCTGGATATCATAAGACTATATATTAGTCAGTTGGCTAATGTATTTTCTTGGACACTTTTATTTGATCACTTGAAAACACGGTGGGACCTATTCTATATACAGCTTACTTTTGTCTGAACCAAGTCTTGGTTGCAGACCTAATGCAACATAAGAAATTGCTTGTTTGTTTGTTTTCAAACTTACTTGTTAAGAGAAGAAAGGATATAGTGAGGAGAATGAGTGCAACTTCCATCCAAGTTGAGCCAGTCCAAAGCTCCACAACTCAGAATGGGTGGAGTTTCATTAATCTACACAACACAACATAAGAACAGAAGGAAAAAATATCACAGCAACCCAGGAACTTCCAAGTTATCATTAAAACATTTGTTGCTAATTACTGTGTGCAATGCTTCATGATACCTCCCATGTGAGTTCATAATCCCACTTACACTTCTGCTTAGTCTTTGATAATTTGCAAAATTGCTAGGTATTTGTTACTGAGTACACCTCTTCTTGTAGCTCTGTTTTAATGTACTGCATGTTTCATTAATCAAGAAATTAAGAATGAAAACAAATGGAAGTTAAGCCCCTTATGTCAACTACAGAAGTGAGCACAAAAGGGCTGTTGAGCAGAAAGTTTAAAACATTACTATATGAAAATAGGTTGATTCTTGCCAATATCAGTTGGTAATATGGTTATATCCTAAACCAGAAAATTTGCATTCTTTAAGTTAGTTTTTTTAGTTATATATACCAGTCATTTTAAGAATTATCTCATTTGTTTGAAATATTATTGAACTAGCTGACCAAATAATATCTTGCAGTAGTTAATTCCTGAGATCAACATACCAAGAAATATTTTATATACTTCTTATGTATATAGAAATTAATGTACTTCTGATGTATGTAAAAATTAAGCTCTTTCAGCATCAACAATACTCAAGCACTTAATCCCCTAAATTTTCCATTTCTTCTAGTATACCTCATTCAGGATGGTGAAGTGACAGAGAAAGAAGATAATTCAGAAAATAATCAAATATGGAAAGATTCTTAACTGGTCTTTTCACTGTAGCATTCTGCCTTTCTGTTTCAATCCTACCACAGTCATGACTAGAAATAGGAAATACTAAATTATTCAAGGGATCTGCATCATCTTTTGCTAAGCACATCTGAAAGAAGTGCTAGTGTCCTCCCACAAAAGGTTTAGTGTCATTACAGACCATTAGATGGAGGAAATGAAGCAAGTGAATACGATGATGAGAAGAAATATTATCTATATCAGGCTTGCTTTTAAGAGGGAAAATAATTAGGAAAATCAATGAAGAATTAGGGAAGGAAAATACAGTTTTAGAACTTACTGATCTTCTTTGTCTTAAGATAGCAGCTTCTGCTGGGTGATTGAATCTAAATTTATGAGACTTGCCAAGGACTACAAGGGCCCCTGTAAACAAAAATTAATTAGAACTCTACAGAGACATAATTCATTAAACAGCCAGTCTCTAGAATGTTAGCAGTTTCTCAACTCTAGTATATAGACTATCGTATATACAAACTCCTAGAGAATAATATGTTAAAAGAAAAAAAATATTCTGACCAACAGCTTTCTGACCATCACAGAGCAGAGAACTATTTTTAAAATTTGCCATTGTATGACAGCAGAGTTATCATTCTGTAATGACAGCAATCCAAGAAACTAATCTCAGAGAATTCTGCAAACTCAACATAACAGTAAATTCCCTCTTAATACTGAAGACCAGCGTGACTTCATACCAAAAACATAACCAAACAACTGATGGAAACTTGTTTTACACTGTCTTTTTAAGAATCCAGATGACTGCAAGTTCCCTGAAACTGATTGTTGGGGGTTTTTTTAATTTTAAACAACCTGAAAATATGTGAGCCTGTTCCATTTCATCCTAGCTTATTCACCATAGCCTATAACTCAGTGGCTAGTACCCTCCACCTAACTGCACTGTGACAAAGTTGAAGGTCATTTCAAGCATATTTCGTAACTGCCAAAACACCCCGCCAGTGGTCAGCTGGCTTAGAGCTAGTCCCACTACTTTCCACAACAGTGCCTTGACTACAGGTCTTCTCTTTTCAGAAGGCTACAGACTACTGCTGCCAAAAGTGGTCTTAATATTATCACCTATGTCTTCATTTTATTTTCTGTGTGGTTGTTAATGTTCAGTCTGGAAGTTCTAGTCATGGATCACACCTTATGGTGCTAGGCAGCAGTAGGAGACTGAGAGATACATTTCTTAGATCTGCATGAGTTCCATAAATCCTTGTCTCTAAGCTCCAGAGGTAAGCTGAGTACAATAGCGGATTCCCAGAAAAAGTAAGCCTTACCTTGTGACAGACGACATGATCTAGTGACTTCACATCCATTCACAGTGCAGTGTGCGCCCTGAACTGGTCGCAGTGTCACAATCCCACAATTGTTGTCTATCATACAATGATCCCTTTCAATCCATCGTCCCTGCAAAACTACAGTGTATAGATTTGCTTTCACTGCTTGAAGGGGTTGGGTTAGCACTGTTTTCCTCAGAATGAAGTACCACGCACTGTTCGACACTATGACTACATACTTCATACCTCAGAGAACTATGTCAAGTGCAGAATAAGGAGAATAAATTGTCTTCTTTGACTGTTAGCCAAGTACTCAACCACATGTAAAAACTTTACTTGATTGAAAATAGTGAGACTGCTGTTTTAAACTACTTCTGGTTCTGGAAAACTATACGTTACTTTCTGAATTTGTAAGCTGATGTGCAAATTCTTCTATTGTGCTGAATTTTCTTATTGCTATTATGGCATTTATTGTTTATATTTTACTAACCTAGTGGAGGAAAATAATCAAACTTAACCAAACTTAGTAGAACTAACCAAAGCTGAGATTCTACAAAGTTTCCAATTTCAGTATGAAGTTTCAACTCTCTATCATAATTCGTAGCTCTTGAGATTGACTGTTAAAATTAAGAGCAGAAATGAAATGAAATAAAAAATATTCTGAATCATTTGGATTTTATATCTAAAATACTCTGTCCAAGCAAATTTGAAAAGAATTTTCAATGTCTCATGATGACTTGTGCCACTAGTTTGGGATAGAACATACCAAGATTTGGATGTTGGATGAAGATATTTTTAAACTCTAGTGTAGCATTTCACAAGTGGGAAGAAAGTTCTGAAGAGATCTCAATTAGGCCAAGACCATTGACTCTTTGACCTCTCAAATAAAAACAAAAACTAACTGAAAGTTTTTAGCCAACTTAAACAATTATTCACTTCTACCTAGCATCTTCTATAAAGAAAGCTGACAAACAGAAACATTACCTAGCTATGACACATGACAAATGTGAACCTCTTGGTTTGAGCTGACCATATCATAAAATGAATTGTAATATCGCTTTCTTACCAATGTCTTGATCTTGGTCTGAATCACTTCTTCCAATTTTGGTTGTTCCTTCCTAAAACAAGAAAAGAACTAATTTAAAAGTCGATTACTGAAAATGGATAATATATAATAATTAAAAAAAACTTCGGTACAGCATCTTAGCAAATACCAGAAATAAATCACCCCTGAATGACTGAATTGTTTAGACCAAACTCTATCTACTACTTTGTAATAATTGAAACTGCTGTCCCCCATAGCGATGCAACTACTTCTTATCCTGCATCTATGTCAGCTGCTCTTATTACGACTCCAGCAGATGAAGTAACCCTCAGTGGATGATTTTTGGACTGTGCTCGAGACAAATATTTTTAATATGAACACATGTTCTGATGATTTGAACTTTTACAGTGAGACTTGTTCTTTGCAGAAATAAGAAAATTCTTTTTATAAATAACGATGCAGGAAGAAAGAAGCTGCAAAATGATTCTTCAGTTAACCACGCTTTTCAGATATAAAAGTAACAGAATTCCTATTTTGTAAGGGAACTGTGTCATAGATTATGAATTCTTCAACTAACTACTAAAGAAGAACTTTTTCCCAAAACTTAAATGACATTTATAAAAAATCTTCTTGATAATTATGGTATATAGGCAAGTTCCCAAACGTGAAGATTCAATAACTTCACAGAAAAGAACTGCCTAGGAACAAAAGTCTCCAGAACAAGCAGACTTGAACAATATTATGCGCCAGTGTCCCGGTTTTGTCTGGGATAGAGTTCGTTTTCCTCCCAGAAGCTGCTGTGTTTTGGATTTAGCACCAGAAGAACGCTGATAATACACTGATGGTTTTAGTTGTTGCTAAGAAATCAAGGACTTTTTTTCCAGTTTCCCATATTCAGCAAATGAGCAGGTGGGAGGAAGCACAGCCAGGCAGCCAGCCCAAGCTGGCTAATAGAAATACTCCATACCATAGACATAATGCTCAAAATATTAATGGGGGTTGGCCGGGGGGCAGGAACTCCTTCTTTGCTGTGAATTCAGCTCTCTTTTTTCTATGAGTTTAAACTTTTTCAGGAGTTTTGTGACTGCTGCTCAGGGTTTGGCTGCGGATCGGTCATTGGGCAGTGAGAAGAAATTGCATTGTATGTTGCTTGTTTTGCATATTCTATTATTATTGTTGTTGCTATTATTATTCCCTTTGTTGTCTTATTAAACTGTATTTCTCTCAAACCACAGGTACAACTAAAAATTGCATCTGAGAGCAAAGGTACAGATATGATACAAGCAAACTAACTCAACTTAAAGAGAAAACAAAACAAAAATAGCAATAACCCAGGCCCGTGTCGATTTCATTTTTTCAAATGCTATTACAGAGCTAATAATTTAAATATTTATACTCTTTCCTAATATAATATTGAGTATTCCGCCTGAAACGATTGCACAACTTCACTTAACATATTGAGGTACACCTTCATGTCTGTTGAAGTGCTTTTACATTGTTACCCTCTTCTGGTAGCGTTCCCTGACAAAGAGTAGAATTCCCAAGGCACATTAAAGAACCATACAGAGTAAGACTGTTTTCCCTTTTCAGTTTTGGGAGTACTCCAACTTTCAAAAAAGTCTGTGAAATATATATTTCTCTAAAACAATATAACCAAATCCCATATTTTTAAGCTGTGCAAAAAGGTCCGTTTAATTATAGGGAAAACATATATTTTTGTTAACGAAAGCCAGAAAAAAGAATGGAATCTAAGAAAGAAAGGTTCTTTAAGCATAGGCACAGCATTGATTAGTGCAATTAATGCTATGGAATATCAAGAGACTAAGAGTAACACAATATTTATTCTACATGAACTAAAGACTGCTGCCATGACCTCTCTCTAGAGAGAGAGGTAAAGTAAATGTAAAGTGCTGTTATATGTTGAAGCCCTAATATGTAAGGAACCACTAATGTTTTACCTTCTTGCTGTTCAGATGAAGGTAATAGACACCAGAGTCTAAAAGATGCAAAGCACAAAGAAAACAAAAGGCAGCATCTAGGAGCAAAGAAAGAGCGGACAAAGATGTTAGTGTGACGGAGAGACACGAATGACTTCAGAAGGTGACCCTTCAAACTAGGTTTCTCCATTAAAATTAATATCTTTAAATTACTTTCAATTGTTGTCAAAATTAGTATGTGAAAATATTTGCGGTTTCCAAAATGGCACATAATGGAAAAACATTTAAGTAGTAGCAATTACTTTTAATGAATATTTAATGTTAATGTAGGATTGAGTAGTTCAAGCTACACGTTGATCAGCATTGGACATTATTATTTGGTCCCTAATTATTACCTGGTACAACGTCTTTGTGCTGGCATGAGAAAAATTAGTAAGGTTTCTCTTTCAACATGATAAAGAATGTCAGGATTTCTCTTTCAAATATTTGTCGTGGCTTTTTAACAGGGGGGGGGGAAAAAATCCTGTGTCCCTAAACTATATCAAGTGGCACAAAACCTAGATTTGGATTAAGATATTTTATTAGTAGACAGATACGTGATTTTCAACCATATTTAACATATTTTTCATTAATCAGTGCACCTCTGTAGAGCTGCCTATCCATCATACCTTTTATGTTAAAAGTCTTAATATTTCAGTAATTTCCATTCATTTAAACATTAAAAAGCTGAAGTCCAGCTTAACACTGTCATATTAAAAAAAAAAAAAATCCCCTAAAACTATTTGACCTAGCCATGCACATCACAAGCTGCAACATGGAGTAATACACATACAATGTTATGAAAGTTTCTTGGTGAAAACCTTGCCTTAAATGTCCAGCTACATAGCAAAACTATATGTATGTGGCCAGGACTTCTACCCGATCCTGAAAAATAGCCACTCAAGTGGGATCACAAGAAATTAGCATTCAAGCCACACATCTGGAATCTACTTGGCAGGCCTGGTAGGGTTAAAAGAGCAATATACAGAAATCTTTGCCAAAGCGAGCTTATGCTTGTTAAAGTTTACTTTTATCTTTGATGCATGCATATACAAGTATTCCAGTCTCAAGTATATAAGTACATAGTAAAATCTGGACCAGTATGTCTGGTATACTTTAAGCACCACCTTTTATGTTTACATACATACGCATGCATGCACTTCTGTCCTTCATGCTTTGTGGACAAACTACTAATGCCTAATTTGAGTATTTTTCTTTGCTCATAATACATTATTAAACAGTTTCCACACACATTCATAAGAGGTCAATTTAGTATTCCATATATGAATTCTTCTCCTCCTCCATTTTCATGTACGCTTTTCTGCTTTTTTTCCCCATTATCTGTATCTTGTGGGCTGTGCCCTTTACTTTTTAGACAGCTGTTGTTGTAATGCCACCTTAACCACTCTCTGTTTCTAAAGAAAACACGTGTTTTCAAATTCAATGGAAGAATAAGACAAGTGACAGTATCTCACCCTGAGATGATACAGCACCACTCCTGTGCTGAGGATATCATCATCCATGGCCATTAGATGAGGTAAACTCGAATCTATTGTTACTCCAGCTTTTTCTTTGTTGATGTCCACACTGTATTCTTCCATGATGGCTTTCCTGTCTGTCCACTTATTTGTCCAGTCTTTGGTCAACTGCTCAATCTTAAAGAATAGGAGAGGAAACTGTTTCACTTCCTAAGCAGGTTAATTTTTCTCACACATAGATTTCTTCAGAAAGAAAAGCTTTTATTTTTCCAGTTATTGGATGCAAAATTTTTTCATCAGTTGCAATGCAGATGTATTCCTAATTGCAGTACACTTCTGTGGCAACAAAAACATTGGGTAAAAACTGTACCACCACCTAGACAAGCAGATTTAATCTATCAAAGACTCATTCCCAAAATGTCAGAAAGATATATGATGATGCTAACTAGTTCTTTTGCCCGTCTTTGAGCAAAACTTAAAAGTCAGATTTCAAAAACCTTTCCAGGTCACCAGTGATCAAATCCTCTTAGTAATTTGGTGACTGCCCAATAACTTCCTTTGAATAAATTGGAAGAGTTTAATCTTAGACGAGAGAGGCTCTGTATAATGAATTACTGTGATATATTGAGACAGCTTTGAGATTGTGCAGACTTAGGGATACGCGATGTAAAGTATCTCATTGAGGACATAAGACTTCCATCACAAATTGGTAGAGAGTGCCCAACATGCATTAAGGATAGCAGTTTCCTGCATATTCAGAACAAACAGGAAAGGATTAGGACAATAACATTTTCACTGTGGTTTCAGAACTATGGCAATGCTACTCCCCCTAGCCCAGTGAAAGAGGAGAGAGTTACAGCATCAAATAGATCATACACACCTTCATTTCATTCTGAAGAACCAGCTCGGTCAGATTTCCGTCCCTGTCATCGCTCCAAGAAGGACTCAAATTCCTCTGTACAAACAACAGCCACCAAGATCTACATGTTACTTTCCTTATTCACAACCGGCAGGTGTGTTCTTTCACTCTCCAGGATTATAAGGAGATGAACTCAGGAGAAGGAAAGACAGTAGCATCTATTCTAGCACCTAGCCTACATCACTCTAGCTATTGCATGCAAGTTTTTGTGAAGAACTGGTGAAAGAGCATTAACAGAGAGATACTTCTGTGTAAATAAATCCTGGACTGTAGTCCAGTCTCTCCCAGCAAAACATGCTCTCCACGGCATGGAAAACTAAGACGCTATTATTATTCCAAAGGAGAAAAACACAAAGAGTGTTAAGCTGTACTGTGAGGGCTCCCAGATGTTCACGACTTCTTTTGGGGGACAGAGTGAGCAGGCAGGGTGAAACTTCCGAAAATTTTTTATACTGTCTTGGTGTTTCCATATCCCTACAAATAAAATATTTCTATTTCACACTATTTCTGGACAACAAAACCATCCAACTCCACGAAAGACAGGCAAGGAAATCCTTTCTAATCATTACACAACTGCTTATACTTCAGGGTTATCAATGTAATGCCAGAAAAAGGAGAAATGACAGAAATGCAGTTAGCCTCCAGTTACAATAAACATGCAAAGATAAACAGGTAAGATGAAAGTAAGATACTGTAGCTACGTAAAGCACCATTAGAACTCCAGTTGGGAAGTATTCCTACGTACCAGTTCAAAGCTCATCAGCATAGTTTTCAACCGATCGATTTCTTCTCGCAGTTCTCTGATCAGTTTTACATTTGCGTCCTGAAATATTGAGACACAGGCATTGGAAAAATCATTCTTCAAAAAATTCTAGCTAAAGAAATCAATGCAGAGCTGTTCCAAGAACCAGGAGGAGAGGAGAACAGGCACACTCACAGCAGTACTCCTTGCTCTACTCTGCCAGGCCCCTTGGATGTACTGCCTAGGCACAGGTGGTTCCCATCTTTGACAGGTTCTCTTTTCTCATATCATAAAGATTGTTCCCTCTCTTTTCTGAACACAGACCTGCCATAATATTTGTTCCCATCATGGCAATAGCTGGATACATCACTGCTTTTATGGATTTACCTTCAAGATAGTCCTATCAGGTCAGAAAAATACTGTGATTTCTGCCATGCAGAGGAGAAAATCAGGCTAGAGGAGACTAAGTCAGAATGTCACCAACCATGGTATTAAAAGCCCTTGCAGCTGATACACAAAGCATTTCCTGCCTGCTTATGTGGATGCAGTTACCTCATTGTCAGAGTAAGCATCTCTGCACAGGCAGTTTCTGGAAATCTGCTTTTTGCAGACAGTTCAGGGAAATTCTTCAATCAAGAGTCAACTTTCTCTGGACTGCCAGTGACTCTTTGGCTCAGGTCAATTTGCAGTGAGGGGAAGGTGGCAACTAGCTGAAGGGATGGAGTTAAGGGTCTAGCATGGACTGTGCAAGAGAGTGATGGGCACACAACTTGGGAGGCTGAGAGGCCGTATGCAACAAGAGGCTAACCCAGGAGGACTGTGTTTACTTATCTGTGGCCTGTCATAGATTTGAGAAGTGCTGCTGCCAAAACCAAACACACTATTGCTGCCACCAGTGAAGTCTAAAAACTAGTTACAGGCACTGGTAATATGGATGCAAATTAAATTTTGGAAACCTTGGATTAGAAGGGTGTCCTTCTGCCTAAGATTTAACAGAGTATTGTTAGGAAAGCAAATAAATGAAGTACATCTCTAAGATTCTATCCTTTTATCTACGGATAAAATCTTGATACACTCAGATGAAATCACAAAAGAACTACAATGTCAACTGCTCAAAGATTAGGAAATACTGGAATCAAGCCTTTTTTTGAAACCTTAATTCAATCTCCTTAAATGGATACACTGTGATTCAGTCCTTAAATTACATGATCACTGCATCACTAAGGCAGCCTCATGCAGAATACCAGAAGAATGCAGTTAAAGAGCAGTAATTCAAGAGTTATATTTCTAGCATGTGTGATCACAGATCTTGATTATTATGTGCTATTTGAATTTTGCTGTGAAGACAGACAGAATTATGCATTTCCCTATGGATTTTTTAATGCCAGTTCTCATCACTGTAGTGTCTAAAACCTCCACAGCTGCTAATCAATCTGTTTTAAAAGCATGTCTTTGATTGGGAGAGTTTATGTTTTTCCCATTTGATAAAAGTGGACTGGGGGTAAGAGTGGAAAATGAGGAACAAGCAGACACTGGAAGTTTGCTTTAAGCACCTGGCATTGAACAAGAATGCTGTAGCAGGGTCAGCGACAGAATCCAGTCCTCCAAGGCAGCGTCAGACACTCCCCTTAATATCCCCTGCCACCTTTTAACTTGTGCAGCCTGCGAAGGACCCCTATGAATCTGCCATACAGTCAGAGTCCACACCTGGAACAGACCTATTTTGGGCAATGAATGAAGCTGGGGTTCTGTGGCAAAAATCCTTCCCATGTATTTAAAGGCTTCATCATTTTGTGTATTGAAAAGAAGGCAAATTGAGACTACATAGGCTACCTTAGGCCTGGCATATTAACTTTTGAATTCTTGACTTTGCAACCTTAACAGAGTTCATTTAACATGTCAAAAGGAAGGGCTGCAAGGGTTATGCACTTAGAGTAACAGATTAAATAGTAACAAATAATCCTAACAGATCTGTAACTCTGCTGATATTTAGGATAAAGACAGGGTAAACATACTTGTCATAACAATTCAAAGAGAAGGAGGGTGAAACACAATGTACAGAGATGAAGAATGTAAAATAGGTGGGAAACGCTAAATGGGTTAAGCTGCAAGGGATCAAAGAAATTATTTCTGTAATATTCAGGCGCCTATTTAGCTCTCATTAACATGGGAAAAAGAGGTATGAATTTTATTCAGAGAGCAGATATAGTGAATAAATATTAAATAATACAACACAACAAAACAGAAAAAGAATTAAAAGCAGAACTCAAGGCCTCACCTCATTCACTCTGGGCTTGTTAATAATATTTTTGGCATTTGAAGCATATCTCAAGGTACTCATGGTTTCATTGTAGCTGGAGCTGGCAGGAGAGATAGCTACAGACAGAAAGCAAGTAGAAAAGAAACACTATTTTAAAAAGTAATCAGCTTAATGCATTACTTTTCAAAAAAGGTGGATTTTTAAAATCTTGCTTCGTTAAAAAACAAAACCAAAAATATCCTTAGGGATATTTCACCAAGCTCAAAAGAGTGTCTTCTCAAGATTGTATTTAGACTGAATATATCACTTTAAATCAAAGCTATAACCTTGGAAAGACTCTTAAGCTTAACTTCATGCACAATCAGCATGCCTTTTCATTTCCTTGAGTAGCCTGTGAAGTATTTATGAAAATCTTAACAAGGACAGATTCTGAGTGATATAGCTGTCTTCTCACTGCAGTAGAGATGTGTTTTAAGGGGGTAATGTAGTGCAAAATATTAACAATGAATAGAAACCAAACTCACTGGCAATCATAATGGTCTTGGAGTTGCCCCCTAGACTGTCCTTCAGAAGCCAGGTGAGGATGGAATCACGGTATGGGATGTAAGCCGGTCGTCTGGTCCCACTGACACTGCCTGTGGATGGACTGTCTGCATGACTGCTCTCCCCTTCACTTGTTATGGTGTTTATGCTCTGGCAGCTGCTGAACATCTGTGAATTTTGTGCTGAAAGAGAAATACCACACAACTCAGGAAAGGGATTATCTTTTTCTGTCATGGCTATTTAATTTTCTTAGATGTCATTACAGTTTATGAAGACACCACACAGCTGTTCTGTTCAGCTTTTTGTTGTAAATATAGATAAACACTAAGACACAGCACATGGTGAGCGAATCCTATGCTTTTATCACTACCCTTCCCTTCAATATAACGAACACTGGTGCTTACCTAAAGTGGAGATGACAATTCCAAGTGTAACTAATGACTTGTTAATATTGGCACCTTCAGTAATTCGATCTTTACAGTAACTGGGATCAGCTCTTTCACTGTAGCATACAAGCATGGAAAAGACAGTGCAAACCAAACAAAAATGCTTAGTTATTAACATACAATCAATACTAAAACATTATGTATTTTCCTGACATACAAGAAAACAGAAATTGCAAGCTTTGCAATTAAAAAAACATATGCTTTGAATACCTTGCACTGCTCTTTGGTTCAGAAAGTCCTAGCAACCATGAGCAAAGGCTGTTAGCTCAGACTACTGTTAAAGGCCCATGAAAACATAAATTCAAGCTTGAACTGGGCAACTCAAGTGGTTCTGAACTAAAAAAAACTGACTTCACAACTCTGCAAGGGTTGCCTGGCTCAGTGCGAAAGTCTGTACATCCCCTCAATACTACTTTCTCCACTGAGACATGCGTGGCGATTCATGTTCTTGAGAAAGAAAAATGTCCTGTTCTCGAACTCTTCGATAACTCTTCAGCACAACTTCCATCTTTCTGTTTTGTCACATCCAGCATAACCACATGTTCCTCACTGAAATGCATAGCTAAGATCAGAGACTTAGGAACTTTTGGAACATGAACAACATAAGCAGTGAGGTATGACTGTGTTCACCTGCCCATGCTAGGCAGCCAGGAGGAATATATTCCTTTTTTTCTCCCTCTTTTCAAGCTCAGATTTGGTAATTCCACCAACAGCTACTGGTAAAGCCACTTCAGAATACAGAGTTGAATGGAATTACCTTTGATGTATGCAACAGCACAGTATTGGATCTGAGGACCCAAGAATTCCCTTCCCCAATGAAATCCAATACCCAGTACAGAAGAACAGTTGACAGAGACAATATCAGCTCAATATTCCTTGTTACTGTATAAAAAAGTCAGGCTTATTGTTATTTTAACAAAGTTTTAAAATATTAAATTTCATCTTTTAAGGCAGTACTACCAGCATCTTCAGTGAAAATTACTTTTTTGCCCCTCAGTATATTATTACCTGCCTGCAAGGTCCACTAAGTTGATCTTGCTTGCAATTTCAGAGGGGAGATTGTTCTCCAATGTAGCCTGAAGAAAAAAATATAAACAAGGAAGATTATTCCTCTTAACTAATCAATGAAAATAAAATAGATGTGCTCTTTTGTTTGAAACTGAGTTGTACATATGACTGCCTCACTGCCTTTCTTTGTGACCCTGACCCAGTGACTATGTTCAAACCATTAACTCAACAGCTTTCTCACCCAACAGAGAAACTACCCTCTTATGCCGATTTCCTCTTTAAAAAAAAACCCTTTACCGCCTAGCGACTGTGAAAGTCTTTCTTGCAGATCTTGCAGTTATTTTCCACTAATGTATTCCAAAGATCTTTTGTGAAACTACTGAAAAATACCCCAAAACGTTCTGTGATTACAGGATGTTAGAAGTGTGAGATAGAAAAGGTCTATTGGATCACTGAACTACTTCCCTGCCAGGGAAGGATATAATTCCTCCGGAAAAATGGTGCATTGTCTCTGAGAGGGTACTGAATGCCAAATGCTGAAGAGATGAGCACATGTGAAAAGCTGGACAGATACAAAATTTGGCAAGTGTTAAACTAATGTTGTACTTCAACTAAGGATCCTAAATAAGTGTGACAAAACATAACTTCAAACACATTCACACTTAATTTTTACAGCATCCTAGAAGTATTGCATTTCAAAGGGCTGATAAAAACGCTAAACATTTCTTTTTACAGTGACTCTTTGGCATCACTTCTGACTATAAGCATGCATAAAGGAATAAGAATACTTCAGTAAACACTCAACACATCAGGTGGTGTAGGAAGTGTAACACATCTGCAGTGTGTTCCAAAGGAAATAAGTAACAGCTTCTATCGAGATTATTACCAACAGCACAAAACGGCGACAAGTAAACAATGCACAACACATTGAACAATGCTTTTTGAGAGTGAAGAGAAAAGGAAGTTGGATTATTTTTAGCTAACCTGAGTGTAGTGGATGGTGAAGATAGCATGGGATCTGCTGCTGGCATTGTGGATATGTGTAGCTGCTGTGATTCTAGAAAGAAGAACAAACCATTCAGTTACAAAGGCCTATTTCCTTGTATTCAGGGAAAGCAAAAATAACAAAAACAGCAGATAAATGAAGATTAGTAATGTGAAACTTGGAGAATATGGTAGGCTGTATTCTTGGATCTGATCACAAAATATTTGACAGAGGACCTGGAAGGGTAGAAACCAAGGGTCAGTTAGAGGCGTTTTTGTCCACCAGCAGCACTCTGAAGAAATATCTTAAAGCAGCCTTAAAGCACAGGTGTAAGGTGTTGCGTAAGTGTAGAACACAGCAGAGAAGTACAGCCAGGAACAGCATTGTACAGCTCACCCCCAACACCACTGACTGTACTAACCCAGTACATTTTCTCCATATTGTCCCCATTTTTATTTCTCAGCACTTCAAAGGGTCTGAACAGCTTCATACACCACTCCTGGGGCTCCCTCTGTCACAGGGCTGATACAGTAGTTTTACACTTTTAGAGAAATCCAATGAGATTAGCCAGTCTAACTCGAATGAGTACCAAATTAATACTGTAATTCACTCGTGTATCACTTGCTTGGCTTTACCCTGTGGACAGACCAGTCGTCCGCCTCTAGCCCTCTGACCCACTGCACTCTGGCTAGCAGGTACCAGGCAGTGGAGGAGGAAAAGCAGTGGCACTCTCTCACAGTCTTCGTAACACAAACTTTTGGAAATTCTATTTCTTTGTTGTTGTTTTGATTAGACAAACCCAAAGAAAGCAGGGTTTCTGCCTAGGGCAGAAGCCAGGTCACAGTTCTTTTCCTTTGTCACTCTTGTAGCTTGCCTTGAATATCAGCTATATGTGCAGCCTTTAGCATCTGTTTTGCCAAGTTTACCCTCAACAACAGCAGGCAATTTTAGTAGTGCAGACAAGGACTGTGGAAACACGTTTTTGTTACAAGCCCGGCTGTTGGAGTACTGCAGAGACCAGTTGAGAGCCACAGCTTTGTGAACGCTGCTGAGGGCCTGCCACAGAAGTCCAAAGTCAGGACTCTCCTCCCTATTGCTCTCTGTTTCCCACACCTCCACAGCCCTGTGACGGGGCGCTGCCAAAAGCTACAGGCAGTCTAGTGCATCATGGCTGTAAGTGAGCCTAAGGTGAGGAAGCAGAAGAACGTGAACTAGTCTCCAGATGTCGGAAGAGGAAGACAAACAATTAGGTAAAGGGCAGAAGACAGCAAACAGCTCTACAGGGGGCAGAAAATATAAGCGAACAGCACTGAAGCTTATAAAGCAAAAGAGAAATAGGAAGTGCTCCAGGATTTGGAGGAGAAAGTGTTAGTATTCGCTTCTCTCCTCTGACAATACACGGGGTAACTGGAGCATAAGTTCACATCTGAACTGCTCACACCCATGTGAGCATTTTTATGGGACAATGTATGTGCTAGTTTTTCACATATTCTATTTCATCATGGCATGTGGTGTACATTTTAATATTTTCAACTGTTCTAATAATATTATCTATATTCATTGGTTTTTGCTTTATACAGCACCAAGGCTATGCCTTTGGAAATCTGTGTTTCCTGCATTTTAAAAATTTTATTCTTAAGCATTTGAGACTGAGTCTTGCAAAGTGTCAAGAAAAAAAATAAATAGCAGCACTGAGAGTTACAACAGAAATAATGATTGCATGTTGAAAATCATATTTGTTTGTTTTATAATGGACAGCGCAGGGCTGGAGATGGCCTGATAAAATCAACTGGCAGAAAAAATGCCTTCAGTAAACTCTGCTTGTTGTTGGTACAGGAGCTGCCCTCTTGCCCATGAAAGGCACCAGTCATGTTCAAGGGGAGCTTCCCCTCCTATCTTTCCTGTATACTCAGACCTGGAGCAGTCATGCCTCATCTGCTCCTCTCCTGCCTCCAGCCATATGGGGCAATTACAACCTGCTCCCCACCTTTTTATTCCTAGGACCTTGCTGATGTTTATTTGGCATTATTTCCCAGACTGCAGAGATTTTAAATTGGTTTGTTTGCATTTATAGTGTTCTAATAAATACTCTGCAGAGTATTTCATAAAAATAAAGACTATAGGTAAACAGGAGTTTCCTGTATATTCCAAATAAGTTTGTAAAAAGTTATTCAGAAGAAGAAGGTGCTTGGTTTCATGCAAATGACAAAGTTTGAAGCTTCAGCATCACAAAAACTTATACACAAAATATTGAACCTCTGATTTTATTTTCTCTACACCTTTGATTTCCTTACCAATGAGACAACTGTAGGATTACACTAGTAGACAGACTAGAATTTTGTTGTTGTTCTGAAAAGTCTCTTACCATAGAGCTGCAGTTATTGATTGCTACAAGCAGAAGCAGCAAAACTTAATCCTACTGTACCTTCTATGTTTTTGTGATAATGCAGCTTAGTTTTTATTAATTTCCCAGCATCACTGATATTTCAAAATGTCGACCTCTCTTATGATAAAACTTAGTATCAATTTTAGAACTGTGATTTGTATTTGGAGGATCCCTTCAAATATAACTCTTTTCCATCACTGTAATAGCAGTTGTATTGATATCCAAGGCTCCCTGTCAAAAAAGTAAAAAAGTATCTTGACTAATGAGAGCTGAAATCATTGGCTCCACTGGTGTGCCAATTCCTACAGTTCTCTTGTAGCACACATGCATGATTTGGACTAAGAACCTGAAAAATTACTTATCAAAAATTAAAACAAATAATTATACACTAAATAGTTTTAGAAATTAAATAAAAATACACTGTGTTTTGAGCAGTTTCAAATCACTAAGTTACACTAACAAGTGAGTTGAAAGCTATACGGTCTAAAGGGTCATAAGCAAGTGGAGGAGAGAAGTGGAATTCTGTTTACAGCAAAACGTTTTCCTGGCATGCATTTTTTATCCCAGACAGATGGTTGAATTTTGTGTGGAAGTCAGCAAGGGATCAGTTTTGAAGAAACAACTCCATGAATGATTATAGTTTTTACTGTGGATACTGAGGATACGTAACATCTTATGTGTAGGTCATGTGCAGGATCAGCAAATCTGACATCCTGTCATGACAAAACATTGGCAACAGTGTCAGTAAAATAAACATCAATGAAATCAACACTTGGGGAAAGAAGTGTTAAATAAATATGGAGCTGGTTTGTTTTATAAAATACCTTTTAGCTATTCCTTCTTCTAGAAGTTCTACAACTTGCTTGTAGTCCGTAACTAAATGTTGAGTCAATCCTGACAAAGATTTAAAAAAGGTTAAATGCATATTTTTCTCAGGAAGTTTCAGCCAGTTTACCCGACAATTTACCCAACATCAGGAGCATAAGGATATGGTATGCCAGTCTGTTCTACAAGTAGTCTCTCAACTAGAGTAAATATTTTCTTTTTTAAAAACACTGTTTTATTTTTAAAAAATGAAACACAAAATTGCAGTCCATCCTTCAGATGCAGTGACGTCAGTATAAAAAAATGACTTGACTTTCAAAGCACAGACCTCTTTCCAACTTGTCTGCACAACGATGATATTTAAAAACCAGTATAACTGAAACTCCGTAAGAAATTTTCAGCTATGTCACTGCTACTAATTGGGTACAGATCCTGTAAAGCAGCTTTTTGCCACTGCCTCTGGATAATGGCTCTGCTCACACAACTAACAGAATTGGGAACTAAACTCTGAATATTTACCATTTACTTAACTAGGCTTCAGCCTGTAACAATTAGGAATCTTCACACTCTTTTCCCCAGAAGGCACCCAAATCACAGAATGTTTGGGGTTGGAAGGGACCTCTGTGGGTCATCTAGTCCAACCCCCGTGCCAAAGCAGGGTCACCTACAGCAGGCTGCACAGGACCTTGTCCAGGCGGGTCTTGAGTATCCCCAATGAAGGAGACTCCCCACCCTCCCTGGGCAGCCTGTTCCAGTGCTCCGTCACCCTCAGAGGGAAGAAGTTCTTCCTCATGTTCAGACGGAACTTCCTGTGCTTCAGTTTGTGCCTATTGCCCATTGCCCCTTGTCCTGTCGCTGGGCACCATTGAAAAGAGTTTGGCCCCATCCTCCTGACACCCACCCTTCAGATATTTGTAAGTATATATTAGGTCCCCTCTCAGCCTTCTCTTCTTCACACTGAACAAGCCCAGCTCCCTCAGCCTTTCCTCATAGGAGAGATGCTCCAGTCCCCCAGTCATCTTCGTAGCCCTCCGCTGGACTCTCTCCAGTAGCTCCTCATCTTTCTTGAACTGAGGAGCCCAGAAATAATGATACGAAACATCTGGCCTTTTCATACCTGCTGCTTTCAGGTTTGTTTTTTACTTTTTCTTAAATTTGATTTTATTTTTAAGGGGGAGAACCCCCGCTGAAAACCAACTATGGCAGCAATGCACTGCAGAGCCCACTGTGTGGAGGGGTGGCTAGCGGAGGGCACTCAGTGGCCACGCTGCCAGCCCCTTGCCAAATACATCTTCCCACAGGCACACAGGATTAACCGCCACAGGCTTGTGTCTTGCGTAAACCCAGTTTAGTATGCCTTGCTTGCATTTTATGGTGATGATTAGTTATCATTTGTACTGCAGTGGCTCCTGAAAAAACACCTGAGATGTGGAAGTAAGCCTTCGTCACACAATCCCCAGTAAAACACTCCTTTGCAGAATGCTTTATCTCACAGCTGGAATCCAGGGCTACTTCTGCCCCCCCGCACTTATTTCGGTTTGGTTTGTATTACTGCAGGCCACAAAAGTGTGGATGAAGGCAGAGTACTGAAAAATGTGATTTATTTGGATCAAATAAATTCTCTACTGCTGGAATTTAAGTCAAGATGAATACAAAATTCATCAAGACTGAAATAAGTACTTCTGACATTGTTAGAGTCTATCCTTATATGACAGCAGCTTGCTTAACTTAAATAAAAGCTAAATCTAAGCCAAAGATGGGAATTTTAGTCCTTTAATAAGTGATACACTTAAAAAAAAAAGATTTTTGGATCACCCACACTTTTAAAAAAACCCTAACTATAGTGTGCATGCATGCACACTCACACACACACAAAGTATAGGATGATTTTCGAACAAAAGCATTTCTTCTGCTCTCTAGTGTCTCTTTATAATACATTAATTCCAGAAGACATCACATTTTCCATTTGAGAACGAGGCCCATTATTTTTCCAACAGCACTCGAATCTTCAAAGTTCAGAATCTGGAAACTATTGCATATTGTTTTCCCAGACCTTTTTTTGGGGTCTTGTTTAACTGCACAAAAATCCAGTTATAAAATGGAGGCATGGAAGGAATTCTTACCTGCCTACATTTCCCTAAGTACTGGAATAGCAAATCTAGCACTGCATTCAAAACATTTAGTTTTTCAGTAAGGTCAGTGACATATTGTAAATGTTGTTTGAAAAGAAATGACAAAGTGTTCTGTTGGCTGCTAGAAAAAGAAAGGTCATTTTCAAGTTCCATAGAAAGATCAAAAACACTCGTCTAGAAATCTGCCTTGGAGTAAGAAAGGATCTCCCCCAGAAATTTGTCTCAGAGTAACAAAACAGATTGCATCATTTCCTGATTTAAGAGAGGCTGATTCCTTAACAGTGCAACCATCTGTGAGGGAGAAGTTTGAAATTATTCCAACCCAAAGCACTGAAACACTTTCAGCATTTTAAAGGCTACAATCTCACAGCCTTTACGTGGAAAAATGATGGGCTGGAAACTATTCAAAATACTTAAGAGTTCAGAGCTGGGACTTCCTGAGTGGATTTGCAAATGGAAAATGCATCTAAGCATCCTTAAGGGGGTTAAGTTTTCTGATTTTCCTCTCTGTTCTTCATCCAGTGCTAACTGTACTCTGGATATCACTGACACCAACAACACAAGTGACAAACCAATGGTACACTGGGGAGCTCCTGATTGAAGTCAGCAAACCTTAAAATTGCTAATGGCTTGCAAGAAGTATGATGCAAATACAGATGCTAGTCCTTAACATACTGGATCTATGGGAAATAATGGAAAATTTCTGAACTGTGCTGATGTTCACCATTTTTCTTTCTCCCATACAGCAAATTGCCTGGAAGGGGAATACAAAACAAGCTCCCCTTCTACTAAGCTTGCTGATAATTCTTATCTCAGTCATCTAGCTATTGGAAACAATATTCTTGTGCTCTGATCCTGCACAGAGAGACTACATATAAAAGTGCTAAATACTGCTTCAGCACATAGAAGGCCCTCACTACAGAGATCAGCAATTGTTGACTGCAGCAATATATTACTGCAGTGGAGAAGGGCATTTTGTACCAGTGTTGTGAACCACCTCATTTTCTTGAAATTGATGTTATTGAAATCAAGCTGACTGTACTCCTCACCTGCGTTCAAAAGACTTCTGGACTTTCTCACAGTTGCTTGTTTTTGATGTGAGCTAATGAGTGCTATTCCAAAAGGAGCTAGGCAATCACATCTTCTTTATTAGTCTCTCTCTCCAAAAGACACCAGGGTTGTTTCAAGCAAAGCAAACTGTTACAATTCTTAATTGCATAAACTGTACATAGCATATTTATTAATATATAATTATATACACATATCTAAATAAAAAGAACTATGTTATCTGACTGTTGCCCTAAGCCACTGACTCATCAGCCTGAAATCACTTCTGTTCACATGCTCTCAAAACAGCATCTAATTACAAAAGGCAAGCCAGCCCATTGGCAGAAGCTATAACTTCATTTTCTTTTAAAACAAGGAAACTCCATTAAATGCAGCCAAGGAATCACTGCAGATATAAGTCCGGAGAAAAGGGGTGGAAATTGCCGAGGAAGGAAGCAGTTTAAAGACCTTTTCTAGTGTGGTGAATGAGCAGCTGCTAAAAGAAAATAATTAGTATCTGTACTCCACCAACAATGAAGTTCTCCGATAACAAGCAGGTAGGAAGAGAATCTTGGAAAGGCCTCAATAAAGGCCAAATGTCTATGAATCTGCTTTTCAAAGAATGGTAAGTTTGCCATACTAATGAGACCATCAATTCATCTATTTTCTAGCTTTCCTTAAACAGGATGCTTATGTGCTGGGAAAGCACAGCTGAAGTAACCAAAATGCCAGACAGTCCCTTGTGTATAGGACCATGCCAATTCAACGCTTCCCAAGCGCTTAATTCAAATTCTGAGAGGAGGAATTGGTAACAACTGTTGGTTGTTAGATGTAGTATGACTGATACTGCAGGTGCCCAGGGAATGAGAGCTGGGAGTTCCAGGCTCCATTCAATCACAGTCAAGTCAACCTATCTGTCGTCACATCTGGCCTTAATTATTGAGATGAGGACACCGATCTGACATCTAATGCCATGATAAAGAAAGAAAGAGGGAGAAAAGTGAACCAGGGAGAACAAAAGGAATTCACAAAACAAACAGAGACCAGAACTCTATTTAAAAGCCAATCAGTATTTGATCTGATATGACAGGACCAATAAAATGCTGTGCGATATGCATTTTGCATACTAAATGTGTACCCCCGAGGTGTTACTACCCACTTGGTGGCCAGCCAAGCAGTTGCAGAGTCAGTGATACCAGAGGCAGCTTTGGAATTCTGCTCACTAGACATAAAGCACACTGAAAAGGAAATGTATACATTTACTTTCTAAACAACCTCACTAATTTTTGAAACTTGCATCAGTTTGGATAAAGCTCTTCCTTCTGACCTTCACTGTAAAGCTACTCTGTATGATTTTGCACCGGTGCACCAATTTTGAGAGACATGCCTTTTGTCAGTTGTTGGTCAGATAAATGGCAATGTAGAAGGCAAACTTTACATTGGGAGGTAATCAATTTACAAAGTACCAATGGTCAAACTCCAGTTTAAAGCTATGTAAGACCCTAAACTGAAAGCACCAACAAGAAGTGAAAATTAACTGGAAGTACAAAAACAATGAGAGAGAAGTTAAGAACTAAAAAAGAAAGACAACTGAAATGGAAAAGATACATGTGAGGTTTTTTTCACCTGTTCTGCATCACCTGATTTGAAAGCTATGACTCCTTAGAAAACACAAAACCACCTGAGGGGCTGCTGTTGCAAGTATGAATTAAAGTGTGTGATGTTTTTAATCATATAATGCACCTACATTACCCATCCTGTGCTTTTTCAGTTTAATGAAGAAAATGAAGCTTATTGGGTTCTCACTTGGGTAATACAGATTTTAATCCCTTCTCATGGCCTAGACTGCAACATCAAACAGTTCAGTTTTCCTACCTTTTTATTATTATTTTATATATATATACTGCTGCCCAAGGACTGAACCAGATATGGAGGGACCTTAGGCTGGTCTGGACAACCCATTTAGAGCTGATTTCTTCATTAAGATTTCTTTAAAACAAAAGAAAGTAAAATGCCATGGCTCACATATGACCTATGCCTGGAAAGGCAAACAGAAAAGTGCAGGATATCCAGCCAGTGGAATAACAGATGCAAAGCTTTCAGTATATTACACATGCCCATATTAATGAGCAAAATATTTGAGGAAAGCAACAAGAGTAGAAGCAGTTAGGATCACACCAGGAACATATGCAAAGGTACAGACCGGACGCACAGTTACTTGAAATTCTAATGCTAGTTGTGAAGCCCGCTCTCACCTTGCACATATGGTCCTGTTTCAGGGTGTTCTCGGACTCGAAGTGTGTAAGGTTTCTTTCGGTCTGATTGTTTTAACAAATCTCGGACACGCTCATTATAAATTTCAAGAAAACTGAAAAGCAAAAAAAGAAAAGAGGAATATTAAATGCACACGGCAAAAAAAAGAGAAAGCATGTATTTAGACGATGTCACTACCTAAATCTGTAACTACAGATCTTTGATGATCAAGGTAATGAACTCATTTTCATTATCTCTGTTACTGCCCGTTCCCATGCAGTGCACGTAGAAAGAAGTCATAGTAGCAAACTTCTAAGAAACAAGAGGTATAGAGTATTTTATTAAAAAATTCATAAAATATGCTTTTTTAACATCAGTGAATTCAAATCCCCAGATTTCCTAACATAATGCTTCATTAGTTCAACGGGAACATAAGTAAGTTGAGCATGTAGGATTATGGCTCAGATTTACGAGATAAACAAACAGGAAATCAATGTTTAATGCACTCCTATTTCAGCTGTCTATACAGAAGTGAACAGACAACGTCCAAAGAAGTATACCGAGACAGAAAACTAAACCCAACACTTTCTCATCCTTCCTCTGTGTTCTCCCCCTTGTTCCAAAATGATTATCATCTGAGAAAACAGAAACAAAATAAACTATTCTTTACTTTGTTTGATTACAGGAATATGTTATTGAAAGCATTCATAGCATTGCCCAAAACAGGAACACACTTACCTGACCTTTACTCTGCAAGATGCTGTCTGGCCTGAGTAATCATCCTTCCTTGAAAAGAGGCCCTGCACAAACCAGAAGTTTATGTAAATTTTAAATCCATCAAGAAAATCTAGCTGCTTAAACAAATGCAATTGAAATAAAAAATAAGTACCTCACATATACGAGGCGTCAGCCCAATGGATGCCTTCAGATAACAAACAGAAAAAAAATTAAACAATATACTTGCTATCACTCTTGCAAAACTGATTTTTAAATACAAGCCAAGTTATAAGAAAAGGACAGAATCACAGAATCACAGAATGTTCGGGGTTGGAAGGGACCTCTGTGGGTCATCTAGTCCAACCCTCCTGTCAAAGCAGGGTCACCTACAGCAGGCTGCACAGGACCTTGTCCAGGCGGGTCTTGAATATCTCCAGAGAAGAAGACTCCACAACCTCCCTGGGCAGCCTGTTCCAGTGCTCCGTCACCCTCAGAGGGAAGAAGTTCTTCCTCATGTTCAGACGGAACTTCCTGTGCCTCAGTTTGTGCCCATTGCCCCTTGTCCTGTCACTGGGCACCATTGAAAAGAGTTTGGCCCCATCCTCCTGACACCCACCCTTCAGATATTTATAAGCATTTATTAGGTCCCCTCTCAGCCTTCTCTTCTTCACACTGAACAAGCCCAGCTCCCTCAACCTTTCATCATAGGAGAGATGCTCCAGTCCCTCAAAATCCTAGTAGCCCTCCGCTGGACTCTCTCCAGTAGCTCCTCATCTTTCTTGAA